CTCCCTACCCTCGCGTGCTGAAAAGAGATGACTGTGGTCTTGAACTAAACCCCGATGGTCCAAATACTCGTGGTGGTTAAATGACCAGGAGCTGTTTCCGCGGGCGTCCTGGCCCTCTCTCGAATACCTCTGACTTTTGGTTGGACACAAGTGTGAACCCTTGGTCGTCCGTTTGTTTTGCCGCTGTTGTTGATTAGGTTGCCCCTGGTAAATTTTCCTCTCTCCTCAGATCCGCCGTTCTTTCCAAAAGTCCATACCGTGCCCTCTGGACACCGGCCTTGTAGGACGCGAAGTTTGGTCACGCCCCCTTCTGCCACGATTTATGGGCTTTACCGCAGTTGCAACAAAGAACCGACTTCCTCGGGCAGTCTCTGGTCTGGTGAGTGCCCGCGCACTTGCCACATCTCCTTGCCTTGTTAGAATAGGCTTGGGTATGCCTCCATTGACTGCAGTTGAAGCACTGTTTGACTTTTTCCCGGGGTGACCAGAGCTGGGCCGTGTACAGAATTGAGTTGAGTACAATGCCGTTTCGAATCACCTCGCGTTGAAGGGCCTCTGTCGGAAGGCTCGCGATCACTGGTCCTCGAGTATGAACGTTTCTTCTCATCCATTGGTGCTCTTTACTGCCGTAAAGCCACCTCACCCTGTTGATTTTTAGATCGGGATTCCGAACTTTTGTCTCCTCCGTTATCTGGTTTATCAATGCGCCGTTGTCGGCATTCTTTCCTCCTCGTAATATTGTCCTCAATGGGACTTCCAAAATTTCAACAGGATAACCATGCTTCAAGACGCAGAACTCCTTTGGCTGAGCCATATTCAGGGCAGCATCTCGCTGTGAGATTGACTGCACATACACCTCAGTTTCGTTGCTCCGTAGCTGCCTAGTAGCTTATGCCCCCTCGATATGTTGTTTTGCCATGTTAAGCAGCTCTGCCGGCTATATATTTTCTGCCCCTTCGACTCGTATCCTTACTGCTGCTTTTGTAGCCGGCGGTGCGACGACTGAGGCATAGGTTGATCGACCTCCCATTGTTTGTGCTGGCCGAGGAGCCGTCTTGCGTACCGGCTCCTCGAGACTCTTCTTAACTGCCTTCTCTAATGCCAGCATCCTTTCCTTCATTGGCTTTGCCGACCTCTTAGATTGTAACATCTGAGTGTGGGCTTTGAAGGCGTCAAGAGCCTCATCTATTTCCACCATCGGTGCAGCAGATATGTAAGTACCTGTATTCACCAGTCTGCCTCGGACATTACTTCAATATGTCCCCACTGTCTTCAAGAAGTCCATGTTGGCGTCAGTAAATGTCGCGAGAAAATCTACAGTCGTAATTGCGGCCGTTCCGCTGCCAATTGTTAGTTGTGGTGGTGCCGTGAAAAAATTTTCAGCCACGACATCCACCTTTCTGGCTCCGCAACTCGCCATGCCGAAGCGCAATGAAAAAAAATCGGGGAATCAGGTCAAAGGGATCGATTACGATAAATGTAATAACTAAAACGATGAAGTAACGTTTATAGAACCAGGTGCCGTTTTTCGTGAAAAATGATGTTTTTTGGCGTGTAAACATTGTGGTTAACAGTTTTCTTCCACTTTTCTTTCATAGATCCTACAACCTTGTCGTAATTTAGTTGAAATATATGTTCGAAGCTTTACTACATTATACTTAAAAACTAGTCTCACTCCTATCGTATGCCACTTTTCGACTAACCGTGACAGCAGTGCACGAACATGCCCTACCCTGTACCTATGATTAATTAATTATCCATTTATGTCTTAATCCAATTTATAACTATGTGGGACAGACTATTTAGATATTACTTATCTTTTCTATTCTAATTTGAGGTTTCCTTAATTTAATTGTGGAATTCCAATTGCTAGTTCGCTAGGGGGGTGCTTTGTATCCTATTAAACAAATTTATAAATAAGAACAATTAAGCCCCACATCTCAAACCCCAACAGCGACAGACCAGGAGTATTTATGTTTCGACTAATGCACACCCTCCTGTATCCCTTTTACGATACCCTCCCAACGGTCTTACCCCTCAGGTCTATATTTGTGTAAGCAGATGGAGGAGCCATTGTCCCGTTATGATCTCCTCTCAAGCCAACAAATCAATTAACGTTTAGGGATGTATAGCTGTGGGAAAAAGCCTCAAGGCCTACTAAGTGAAAGCTCTCCTATTATCAGCATCAGAACTAAATATAAAGAAATTGCTACCCCTCAGAAGAGTTTGAGGATGCCAATCAGACAGAGTCAGCAAACCTATGAATAATTGAGAGAGTCGCTCGATTTTCGTGGCCTCCCTCTTTCTGCTCCAATGATTCGTGCAGCAGGACAAACCCAAGCTCATGAAATTTTGCTAGAAAAGTTTAGGTCGATAGCGACTGCAGCGAAGTAGCCTATACTAGCATCTAAAACTCGGTTCATGCATGAGGTTGTCTTGTCACTATTAAAGTTCGGATATACTCCTGTGGACAAACTTTGGAAATAAAAATATTCACAGACAATTTTTTCGAGTGGCAAAATTATACTCCTTACGAGGGTGGATTGGTTTTTTGGTTTGCTCTAACGGTCTTTCGTTAGAACAACTGTCGGCAGCATATATGAAGAGATGATAAAGGCTTCAATAATCACCATTAGAGCGTTTGGTATCGTAACAGATCTGGTCTTTCCTGGCATCTTGATAGTTGCAAGGGTTGATATAAGCGTATCTTTGACTAAATTATTATAGCTCAACTCAGAATTGAAAAGTTGTGACTTAATCTCAGATCTATAGACTCTCAGTCGAGTGCTAGAAGTTCGTAGGGGACGCCACTAAATGGTGTTGAGTCACTTTCGCTCCAAATAAAGATCTGCTTTTTAGCTTCATTACCTTTTGGCTTACGTATTTTTGCTTGCCATGATTTAGGTAGCAAAGTGTACTGAAGCATGATTTAATTTAATTTATTGGACTGTATTGATGCTACGATGCAACAATATAAAAATCTCGATTACGTACTTGTCCTTGATATATTCGATCTTTACCGAGTAGCAATACTTAGCTAGGTATCTATGGCACAAATACTGGCATCATCTATCCCAAATATTTTTTTAATATTTTTTTGCATCAGATTTTAATTGCGGATGAAGCTATTTAACTATGACACAATATCAAAGAAAGGTACATAATAAATAAACCATTCATTGTTCTGATATGGCACCTAGATCCCATGCAGGTTTTGTTGGAAGATATGTACTTTAAGTAGGATGACTCAATTTGACGTTTAGAACACTCACACTCAAATTTCATTTGCAGATACTGCTCGAGGTTAACCCTTATGGCTTACAACCTCTTCCGTGCACACCCACCACAGGGAAAAGCGTGAAAATCTTTGACTATCCGAGTGTGCTTTCATCATCCCACAAGCACAACATCACCGCGAGAGAAAGTGGTGTGTGGGTCTGACTGGATTCGAACCAGCTTTCTCCTGTCTCGAATGGGGTATGTGTTCAAGCTACCCAGTATTTGCCTGGGAGGACGACCCGAATGGTGTACCACTGCACCATCCGACCCAAAATCACATACTGGATGACTCAGTTGAAACTAATCCACTCATGCCTCGGATTTTATTTGCAAGTACCACTGCGAAGTTATGGCGGCTTTTTCTTCACCCCAAGGCAGCCTTCATCCGTGAATACTCACCCAGGGGAACGTCTCAAAAACTACGAGTTATCCAGACATACCTCCATCATCCAATTTACTTTTCTCCGTGCGATATGTGGTATAGGTGTCCTTCCCAAGTGGAGAAGGTACCCAGGCTACTCAGACTATACCAGAGAACACCAAATCCCAAGTAGTTGGCTTTAGATAACACATTTAAAAAAATTTAAATTCTTCAAGAATAAACTTCTTAGGGTCTGTACCCCAAGCTAACAATGGTCTTGCTGAAAGTATCTTGATAGCATATGAGGGCGCATGAACGCGATAGAGTTTCCCAAGTATTCTTGCCCCTATAGAGCACAGGTATAATCTTGTTTCGCTTCAGAGATATGGTGGTACCGTTCAGAACACTTGTGAAGAAGGAATTACACTCTGTTATTGTTTTCTTACTTCAGTTTAGCCTTACTTTGATTTACGTCGGATGATAAGCGCAGATTGCTTGTTGTATAATACGCATTGCTGGGGATGTGACAGTGTTCAGCGATCCAATCCAGGCATTTAAAATGCCCTTTACATGCCATCCGCTCGTTCGACGACACTAACGCTAATTCGATTGTACCAGCCTTGTACGATTCGTGTTTCCGATAATTTTGACTTGATATCGTTGACTGTACTCCACATATACTCTAATCATGCCATTCGGACTAAATTTCACCCAAGTTCAGTAAGGTTACGATGTCTCATCTAGGGATACTTGCCAAAACACTCAATTCCATCTTCACCTAAACATGTACCATGCTCAACAACTAGTAATTAATATAGCAAAGCATATTGCGACTCACAACCTCGTTTCATCAATCCACATTGGCTCGTGCATTAAATCATATTTCACTGTAAAAATTTGAAAGTTAAAGTTCAAAATTTATTCTCAGTCAAGTTATTACGCTATCGAAGTGAATCACCTCAGATTTGTCAACAACTATTTTACTGATACCAGATTCCTAATCCTACAGAAATGTTTAAATTTAGCCCGGACATTTTTCACACGACATCTCGAAACATCGTCTATTCGCAAGCAGAATTGCGAATTGAAACACCAAAAGTAACAGCTAGAAATCACCCATACGCGTTGTAATTCAGCATAATGTCTTTAGCTTGAATCTATCATATCCATCTACGTCATATGAATTTTTTGCTTTAAGTTGCATTTTTTCCCGCCACATTCTCTACAGACACCCATGCACCCTTCAGTGTAGTGTGCTTTCTAATTTTGACGGTTTACAAAAACGCGTCATTTAAAGATAAATTTAATTTCATATTCTATAATACTCTTGCCGGTCAAGTTCTGTTCGAAAGTTAAAAATATGTTGGTCAGATTAATTCTAATTGCTTTCGCTATCACCAAGTTTGTGTCGGGTAAAAGTGTGATTGTTAGAGCCGTCGAAGATGTGGGAAGAAATATAAGTACCATAAGCAGTGAGTCCTTTTTCTGTTACATCTTCGAGAATTCTCACGGCTCAAAACCCTACAGATGAACAACCTCACTCAATTGAGGATGCAGTTCGCAAGTCAGACCAGGAGGATGTCATGCGCTCTAACATCGGCAATCTCTATTCCTGTGGTGAGAATAGTAAAGTTGGCTCCAATGAGCCTTCTGATGCATTGAACAAACTATTTGCCGATTCAGATAGTGTACCAATGGTGTCTGCCGGTGGCATGGTAACAATAAAAATTCAGTCTACTGATAGTCAAATTGAGCCGTATAAATGCATGATTGATTCCACCGGCACTGGTTCTGGCGATTGGTCAGACATGGAAGTGGTCACAAATGTCCCTGACAAAACGACTTCAAGCAAGGAAGCTTACAATGTAAGCATAATATTAAACAACTTAAAGCTAAACTAATATGTAAAATTTAGTCTCTCAATGCCAAGATTGCACCTGATCAAAGATGTACAGGCAGCGTTGCTGGTGTTAGTAATGTATGTATAGTTCGGTGCAATGATGCTGTTCAAGCAGGGTCACATGAGGGATGTGTCCCTATACAAATGACAGTTGGCGGAAATTCTACTTCTGTCAATTCTTCGACAGCTCTTTATGCCACCGGTCCTCCTGGATCTCCTGGATCCCCACCACCACCTCCACCTCCTGGAGCACCTGGATCTCCACCACCACCTCCTCCTCCCGGAGCACCTGGATCCCCACCACCGCCTCCACCACCTAGAGCACCTGGATCTCCACCACCACCTCCTCCTCCCGGAGCACCTGGATCCCCACCACCGCCTCCACCACCTAGAGCACCTGGATCTCCACCACCACCTCCTCCTCCTGGAGCACCTGGATCTCCACCACCACCTCCACCTCCCGGAGCACCTGGATCCCCACCACCGCCTCCACCTCCTGGAGCACCTGGATCTCCACCACCACCTCCACCTCCCGGAGCACCTGGATCTCCACCACCACCTCCTCCTCCCGGAGCACCTGGATCCCCACCACCACCTCCACCACCTGGAGCACCTGGATCTCCACCACCACCTCCACCACCCGGAGCACCTGGATCCCCACCACCACCTCCACCACCTGGAGCACCTGGATCTCCACCACCACCTCCACCACCTGGAGCACCTGGATCTCCACCGCCTAGCTATTCCGATCCATCACCACCCCCTGGATACTCCTCTCCCGACAAGGCAGAAGTTTATCCCGATGCTGCTGCACCTCCTATGAATTCTCGTGTAATTCCTGCCGCTATTCGCTCTAGAAATCGCGCCGTCAACGCTATCAGTGAAAATAATAGCAAAAAAGAATCTTACAGTCTTGCGGATGATGATAGCAACACTGGAAATGTAGACGAAATTGTTTCCAAAAATTCAGTGAAAGAGCGCAAGCTTCGTCGAGACTTTGTAGCTTAAGTGCTCTTATAAAATCATGGATAATCATACCAATGAAAAATTCGTGGAGAAGAAAGTGCTCTATGTTTGGTGCGTGAAATACATTGATTTTGTATTTCATTTTAGCAAGTTAAATGTTCCTCAGTTATGTAATTGATTAGATGAATCAGTACTAGTCCTGTAAAAGTTTTCCAATACTTGAATCTCAACAGGTATGAAATAAGCTAAGAATTACTCCTTGAAAAAACAATTAATATAGAGAATAAATATCTACAAGAAATAAAAAGATTCTTGATAGAAAAAAGGTTTTCTCTAATGTTATCAAGATTGTTGCAATCTGCATCCAATTGGACATAAACATCGTGAGTGCCACTCTATAGTTGACTTTCTACAACAAAGAATATTTCATGCACAAGTAATTACTTTTGGGTCATGAAATACTTTTGCCGCTATTGTTATTGAGGCTTTTTAGTTTGATTTTATTAAGTATTAATAGTCAGTTATGGCCTCGCCTCAACCTGACTCTAGGTACAATAGCATGAGTACATGTGGTACGTGCACTTTAGCGTATAGTCCCTGTCCGCCTCTAGATATTCTCTTCTCCTAGCCAATCGACTTCTTTCATCTCTACATTAGAGCTGTCTTTCTGCCACTTCCTCTTCTCGTGATTCAGTCTACCTAATTATGAAATTTAATCTTCAAGATACTTGTAGCGATACAGGTTTAACCGCTAATTATTCCCAGATGAGTACTCACGGATGGGGGCTAACTTGAGCTGAAGGAAAATCCAACACAAATTTGCGGTGGTAATTGCAAATGGAATCCAAGACATGAGTGCCATGCGACTAGATTGAGTGATCTTTTATAAATATTTTCTCTGATAATTTGTTGTAGCTAGCTAGCTAGCTGCATACGCAATTCAAATCTGATGCAAAATCCCCTAAAATATACGGAGCTGGATGGGTCAGTGGTACACCGTTGACGCCGTTCCCCATTGTAGAACCTGGGAAGCTTGAACACCCATCTCACTTGGGACGGCAGAAAACTGTATCGATTCCAGTATGACTCACGCACCACATTCTCTCGTGGTAATTTCACATTCACGGGGTGACGAACACACCCTCATGAGGTGGGTATGCATGGAAGAGGTTACACATCGTAAGGGCTTATCTCGAGTTGCATCTGCAAATAAGATATGGGGGTGTTTTTTGAATTTGATTTCATCAACCTGACTTAGCGCCCTATGGGCTCACGCAGGCGGCTATAAACTCTATTTATAGTTATTTACATAAGGGGGAAACCTTTCGATAAAAAACCCCTACCCCTTCATATATTATCTGCGGTCCTTCTTTAACCTACAGGAAGTGCAATTGGCCTTTGGTCCGATACAAGACTAGCTAAACTTGAAGTTTACCTCGCCATCCTTTCCCTACCCTCGCGTGCTGAAAAGAGATGACTGTGGCCTTGAACTAAACCCCGATGGTCCAAATACTCGTGGTGGTGAAATGACCAGGAGCTATTTCCGCGGACGTCTTGGCCCTCTCTCGAATACCTCTGGCTTTTGGTTGGACACAAGTGTGAACCCTTGGTCGTCCGTTTGTTTTGCCGCTGTTGTTGATTAGGTTGCCCCTGGTAAATTTTCCTCTCTCCTCAGATCCGCCGTTCTTTCCAAAAGTCCATACCGTGCCCTCTGGACACCGGCCTTGTAGGACGCGAAGTTTGGTCACGCCCCCTTCTGCCACGATTTATGGGCTTTACCGCAGTTGCAACAAAGAACCGACTTCCTCGGGCAGTCTCTGGTCTGGTGAGTGCCCGCGCACTTGCCACATCTCCTTGCCTTGTTAGAATAGGCTTGGGTATGCCTCCATTGACTGCAGTTGAAGCACTGTTTGACTTTTTCCCGGGGTGACCAGAGCTGGGCCGTGTACAGAATTGAGTTGAGTACAATGCCGTTTCGAATCACCTCGCGTTGAAGGGCCTCTGTCGGAAGGCTCGCGATCACTGGTCCTCGAGTATGAACGTTTCTTCTCATCCATTGGTGCTCTTTACTGCCGTAAAGCCACCTCACCCTGTTGATTTTTAGATCGGGATTCCGAACTTTTGTCTCCTCCGTTATCTGGTTTATCAATGCGCCGTTGTCGGCATTCTTTCCTCCTCGTAATATTGTCCTCAATGGGACTTCCAAAATTTCAACAGGATAACCATGCTTCAAGACGCAGAACTCCTTTGGCTGAGCCATATTCAGGGCAGCATCTCGCTGTGAGATAGACTGCACATACACCTCAGTTTCGTTGCTCCGTAGCTGCCTAGTAGCGTATGCCCCTGGTATGTGTTTTTGTGCCCTTGTAATTGAAATTAGTTCCGGATATTGGAAGGATTACATACTAGCCTCGAGTTTGATTAAGAGATACGATAAATTTGTTTAGTATATCAAGAAGTTTACTAATATTCATTGGATAGTTAATTGTGATTAAATTGCTGTAATTCTACGTGTGTGGTGAGAAGTCCCACTATATACATGAAAGCGGGATTTTCCGCACACTAGTGTGAACTCCAACACACTTCCTAATCTAACCTAAATGGGAAGGTAGTTGGAGATCCTGAAGCCAATGTATTTTTTTTTTTTTTGCATCAGATTTTAATTGCTTATGCAGCTATCTAGCTATGACACAATATCAAAGAAAAGCACAGAATAGATGATTCAACGTAAAGAAAAAGCACTCATGCCTCAGATTTCATTTGCAAGTATCACTACGAAGTTATGGTGGCTTTTTCTTTACCCCAAGTCAACCCTCATCCGTGAATACCCATCCAGGGGAACGTCTCAAAAACCCTGAGTTATCCAGACATGCCTCCATCATCCATTTACTTTTCTCCGCGCGATATGTGGTATAGGTGACTCTTTCCCAAGTGGAGTAGGTGCCTAGGCTACTCAGACTATACCGGGGAACACCACCAGTAGGCGGACCACAACACCTTCCATCGTTTGCTTGTTTTAATAGTGTGAGCTTCACTCTCGCAAGCGAAGTCTTGGCGCGCACAAAGCTGAACTCGTAAAACTCCCTGCCAAAATTCGGAATCTCACGCCGTTCGAGGTTACATCCTTCCTTTCCATCATCTTGTCAAGTTGTCCTAATCACTCTCACGTCCATCCCAAAAAACTGTCTCCCAGATTTGTGCGCCACGCTTTGCTTCCTCTGTCGGGTATAAATATCGGTGTGGGCGTGTATTTGGTGACCGGCTGAGGCCAGAGAAGGTCGAAGAGTTGTGTGGTCATTGGGATGAGGATGTACTTGGTCGTACTTGTAGGCTTGATGAGACTTAGGTAGGAATCGATTTCGTTGGGAGTGAAAAAATGACGTGGAGGAGTAAATTGAATCATTGCCTCGTGGGCCAACTTCTTTGATATTGCGAAATTTGACTGAACTTGGCTCTGGGAGAATATTTCACTTCCGGGTTCGTAGAGGACACCGTGTACAGGTGTTCAGTCTTGCCCTCCGAAGCCAATGTATGCCGTGAGGCATCTATTGGTTAATTACTATTCATGCCGGTGAGTGATGATATGGGTTAATCATATCTCATGATGACAGTGCGTATTATTCTAATATGTACTATTTGTCTAATGCAGTCATGTTTCTGCCTTAATTATAACACTTGTTAGAAGCTGTGCTGGCTGCATGTCTTTCGCACCCTCAACGCGTATTCTAACCACCATTTTCGCCATTGGCGGCGCTGACATCGACGCGAATGTTCTTTAAGCCTGCGGTCCAGAAATAATTGGAGCCGCATTGCGGGCGGGCTCCACGAGACTCTTCTTGACTGCTTCTCTAAGAGCCAACATCATTTCTTAGAAGGGAGATTTCATCGTCTGCATCTCTTTCCAAGCTTTGTTGTGTGCGTTGAAGGCCCTGAAGGCCTCCGCGATTTCTTCCGTGGTAATGGTAATTCCATCATCGTCTTCATCTGAATAAAGAATCCTGTTCTATTTTTAGTAACAGCCGTAGGATCTTTAGATTGTTTTCCGTTGGAGCTGTTGACGCTCCGCTGCCTTCGGATTGTTTGGCCATTGTGTCATTTTGATACGCGTCGAGACCACTGAATCCCATCGAACAGGCACTAGCAACCACTATATTGTGTCACAATGGATATGGGGACGGAAATGGGATAATATAGATGAGAAATTAGGATTAACGAAGTCAATTTGATGAAAGAGGCAGCATGGAGTGCTGCGCAGCTTTTCGTAAAAAATGGTGCTTTTATTTCTTTAATTTGATTTAAATTTTTATTAAGGAAATAATGACCCCTCAGTCATTGAGGTTGTAGAGTGTATTAATTCAAGTAACTACTGAAGTGAAACTAAGTAAAGAATTTGCAGTCGCTTGTGTATCAACAACGTGGCCTACTTTATAGCCCCAATTATTCAAATTATAACAATTATTTTTATGTTTTATTTTTATTTCATTTAGTCTGATTTGGCGCCCTATTGGCCCATGCAGGTGAGGTTCCTGATGGATTAGTATGTGTGAAAAGTGAGATAAGCTTAGCTTTAAGATGGCGTAGGTTACGGGTGTCTCGTGGCTCCAATCTACCAATATGTATAGTAGAGCTTAAGACTAGATGTAACTTGGTTTTCTATTAATACAGGGTATCGTCTATATAGGTACAGTATTCCTAATCTTGCGCCCGGACTCCAACATGAACAACATTACATAAGCATTACAATTTATTAGAGCCTCGTATTAATCTAGAGGTCTGTCAATCTTGGATCCTCACAGGTGTCTACGAACTCTAATATTTACATAGGAGGAAACCTTGCAGTAAAAACCCCCTTTGCTGTCCGACTTGACTCTGCGCAATTATGGTCTTACCTCTAGGAAGTGCACTCACACTGTTGTTGCCAGTGTGGATTCCGTCCTTGTCCTGTGTATCCATTTTCCTCTCTCCGCCTGATTAACGCCTCGATTTCCCCGGTCATCCGAAACTGCTCTAGCCATCCTTCCTTTTGAATCCACTGTTCAATT